CGGAGACAGCTGTTATCACTTGCCAGGTCTTACGTGGCGGAGTTGACTTTAAAAGGTGTCGAATCTAGTTTGTGATAAACGAGCTTTCATGGTGGTTGAATTTAATTCCACTCCCAGATAAACAAATGTCTGGGCCGGGAAAATCGAGCTTCCTTCCAATTTATGGCGAAGCCCAGATTTAACAGGTGTGATGTCAACACCTGATCCTGCATCAGCGCCTCCTGTCTGGAGTGACAGGAGCAGCAGATCGTCCAGGTAAAACAAAAACTCTCGTCTCTGTGTTTTAGGATGATTGGTATGCGTTCTCTGGATGTTATACAACAGATCCAAAAAAACGGTCTCATCCCTCCGATCCGTGAGTAAAAACCCTGTGTTTTCTCTCCGTTGGGGGACTCTGTAGATTACTTTTATCAGAAACACTTGGACTTCTGCATTTAGGAATGAGATTTAGTCTGATGATGACAGGACCGTTTTTATAACTCCTCTGAATGGAGGGGTTCGGGTTGCAAACTGTAACTTGTAACCATTTGCATAAAACCTTGTCCATCCATCTGAAAAACGGCGAGCATGTTTTAGCCACTCTACGTAACGTTCGTAGGGTGAACGTGCGTTAAGTGATGTGTCACGTTTTGTACGGCTGTCAGCAGTCCGCCCCTCAACCGCCGTCATGCGTCGCGGGAATGTTTTCTGTGTGATCCAAGGCGAGGCTTGTGCTGAAGGCGAAGCGTGTGACAGCTGATGACGCGGTGGGGCTGCGCGTTTGACGTCGCTGTGCGAACGTTGAGAGGCGGAGGGCGTGACTTCATTTACGCCGCGCTGTTGGAGTGAAGGCTGCTAGCCCCGCGGGAGCACACGTTTTTCTCTGGAGGGACGCGCGCCACTCTCGCTGGAGGGGCGCGCGCTGGCGGGAGGCGGGACTCATTACCGGGTTCGTTCAGCTGCTTCACGTTTATGCTGCCGTGAGCTGCCGAACGCTGAGACGCGGTGGGTGATGGCTGCCCGCGTTTGATTCGTTGAGACGGGTGTCGCTTCTTGTGAGAGAGAAGGACCTCCACCCGAACCAGCCTGCGGACCACATTTATACCGATGTGAGCCGGTTAGCGCCGGGCAGCTGTGTGTGTGCGCGCCAGCATCAACGCAGCGCCGTTGGATGGAGGCTGTTTCATCCTTGTGATCGACTCGTCATGTCTAGAGCGGCGGTGAGTTAAAAAACCTTTAATTAAGGACACCGGCTCATGTGTGGAGGCTGTTTCATCCCACGAGTGCGAGTTGACACCGCTTGAGTGAGGATCGTGCAGTGCTCTGAAAGCTTCCGCGAGGCTTGGCTCCAGGGTGGTTACCGAGGAATAGCCCTGCTCGGTGAATCCCTCAACTCTGGTGATGGGAGCGGACTGGGGACCGACTCCTCCAATCTACCAGGAAAGAACCGTCTGTGGCCTCGCCCGTCGAACGTCCTGTTGGAACGCGAGGCCGTATGGATCAAGACGGTGAGCCACAGTGGAGCCCAGTGAAAAACAACCTTCCCGCCGATCATCCGAACTGGCGGGAAAAGGCGTGGGACGTAGAAAAAAGGGGTCCCTTCATGTCAGCCTCCTCCTGGGTTCCGCCGGGCAACCGTGAGGGCGCTGTCGGCCGGGAGCGGTGTGATCGCCGATGCGAAACGAGGTGGGATGGGGTGAGCATTCACTCAGCCCCCCTCCACCTACACTACGCTCCCCAGGAGGGAATGAGCAGCGGGGGCTGCAGCTGAGCACGCCTTGCCCCGGAGGAACCATCCGGTTCGCCCCGAGGGTCGGCGATAAGAGGAAAAAATACAAGATGGCGTTGTCCAGCGTGTAGTGACCTGTCACTGGGAAATGTTCCCCGACGCTTACCTTGGAATAAGACTGCTCGTCATCTTCTCCTCGGGGAGGAGAACTCACCGGACGACCGGAGGTCGACTGCCGGGCCAAGCATCCTTCACAAAGGTTGGTCATTTACACAATTTATCCTCTTTGTTCTTCTGACAGTGCTATATTAGCTCGCTGAAGAAAAAATGGGAGCCGATTTCCCGCTCTCAACGTAATTTATACGGACCGGGTGGGGCCCACACAGCAGGTGGGCGTGGACTAAATTTTTTCAGTGCTTATGCTGCGCATAACGGGATAAACCCATCAGCGACAGCCTTAAAGGGCGAAGCCTATATGACATAGAACTTGGTTCAATGTAACAACAGAATCACGGGAGGATTTAAAAGGTTTCATAACTTTGATTATAAAACAACATCCAAGAATCTTATACCTAGGTTCTAAACAAAGCCAGATCGTATAACAATTGCAACGCTAAATCAGGAGATGATCTACCGTTAACTTGTGCTGCCTCGTCTGCTAAACGTCCCCACTCCTGCTGCTAGGTCGGGCGAGGCACGAGGTGAGACTTTGGGTGTGGTGCAAGGATCGTAACAGTAGTTAATAATCTGGGTGAATCATCTCAACACAGCCTTAAACTAAACTGTCCTAAAATACAATACAATCGTCTTGGGCCTTCTTTGTCGCACCTTCCTTTTTATGATGCGCCAAATGTTCTCTATAGGTGAAAGATCTGGACTGCAGGCTGGCCATTTCAGTACCCGGATCCTTCTCCTACGTAGCCATGATGTTGTGATTGCTGCAGAATGTGGTCTGGCATTATCGTGTTGAAAAATGCAGGGTCTTCCCTGAAAGAGATGACGTCTAGATGGGAGCATATGTTGTTCTAGAACCTGAACATAGTTCTCTGCATTAATGGTGCCTTTCCAGACATGCAAGCTGCCCATGCCACAAGCGCTCATTCAACCCCATACCATCAGTGATGCAGGCTTCTGAACGGAGCGTTGATAACAACTTGCGCTATCCTTGTCCTCTCTGGTCTGGATGGCATGGCGTCCCAGTGTTCCATAAAGAACTTCAAATTGTGACTCGTCTGACCACAGAACAGTCTTCCATTTTTCCACACTCCATTTTAAATGACCCCTGGCCCAGTGCAAACGTCTTAGCTTGTTGAGCTTGCTTAGAAATGGTTTCCTCTTTGCACTGTAGAGTTTCAGCTGGCAATGGTTGATGGCACGGTGGATTGTGTTCACTGAAAATGCTTTCTGGAAGTATTCCTGAGCCCATTCTGTTATTTCCTTGACAGTGGCATTCCTGTTTGAGGTGCAGTGACGTTTAAGGGCCCGGAGATCACGAGCATCCAGTAGTTTTATGGCCTTGACCCTTACGCACAGCGATTGTTCTAAATTCTCTGAATCTTTTGATGATGTCATGCACGGTGATGACGATAACTTAAGTCTTTGCTATTTTACGCTGGGTAACACCATTCTGGTATTGCTGCACTATCTTTCTGCGCAACAATGGTGGAATTGGTGATCCTCTTACCATCTTGGCTTCTGAGAGACACTGACACTCTGAGAAGCTCTTTTTATACCCAATCATGTCAATTGACCTAATTAGTGTTAATTGGTCTTCCAGCTATTTGTTATACACTCAATTTCCTTTTTCCAGCCACTTATTGCTACTTGTCCCAAGTTTTTTGGGATTTGTTGACACTGTGAAATTTTGAATCAACATATTTTTCCTTTAAAATGTTACATTTACTCAGATTAAACTTTTGATCCGTCATCTGTCATATTACGAATAAAATATTGACATTTGCCATCTCTACATCATTGCATTCAGTTTTTATTCACTTTGTTTAGTGTCCCAACTTTTTTAGAATCCGGTTTGTATATGGTGGCAATATGTGGTTATATATAAAATAGATATAATTGTGTATGTACACATACATACATGAGATGTGTATATATAAAATAGATGTCTGTATATATATATGATTGTGATAGTTTGTATATAAGAAAATTATTAAACTGTATATATGAATATGACAGTGATATGTATATATATATATATATGTCTGTGTGTATATATATATATATATATAATACATATATATAATATATAGATAATAAAAATGTATCAGTGACTGTGAGTTTTGCAAAACTTGTCATAAGAATATTTTATTAGTGGTAATGTTAACCCCAAGAAATAAAAAAAAAAACCACTGAACCACGTGTTCAGCTTTAATGGCTGTATGCCCAAGATTTACAGAGGGAAAAATTTGTGAGAATGAGTTTAGTATTCAGCTATTACTGATTAAACGCGCAGATACTTCATTGCTCCTGCTAAACAGGTTACACTGAGTAGAGCGGTCGACCGTTCCAAGATGGTGGCCCTACGGCTCGTCAGCGCCAATAGCGGTCAAAGCTGTATCTAGCTTTTATACAATATCTCTGGTTGCCACTGCTGAAGGCAGAAAATCTAAACCAGCAACTTTCCCTCAGTGAGCGCTCTCGTCCTACAGGATCTTCGTTCAGTCCGGTCTCAGAAGTTACCTCAGAGTGAGCGCTCTTAAACAGGGAGCTTTTTTAGTTATTAATGCGCATATGTAAAATCAGGCATACAGTGTGATTGCAAAGTAGCTGAAACAGACATGAGCATTGTTCAGACTCTGTGTATCCCAACAAATCAGAAATAGGTATGAAACTATTTAGACCACAATGCATTGCAAGATACTGACTTTGAGCATGCTCAAGAATACAATCAATACACAGGAGTTCCTACGCACCTTCCTTTGGATTGATGGATATTCTTCACACGTAGCACTTTACTGAACAGCGTGATGGATCAAATAACAAAAGACCATCTTTTATTCTTTTATTTGAAAGTGTTTGACACAAGAGAAACAATCAGAACAAATGTCACAACTGAATTAAAATCAAAACAAATAAAGTTCAACCCCTCAGTGCTTCTGAGTTCTGCACAGAACTGTTCTGAGGAACGGTCCTGGTTCTGAGTCAGCCGGGGAACGGCATACACGACCCACGATCAGCGCAGCATCGGTTTGCCTGAGCACCAAAACTTCAAGCTTCTAACTGGATCAAAGCTTGACCAAAAGGTTAAAACGTTGCTCTGAAGAAAGCCTCCCTGAGCAGAAGATTCTGTAAAAAAGTTGAGGAACAAGTAACAAGCGAAGGAAACTCGGCTCCAGCTATACAAGCTCGACCAGCGCTCGCTGGGGTTTGGGAGCTATGCCATGTCCGCCTCTTCTGGGAGTTCTGTCTTTTGGACCTTCACTGGAGTTCCCCCACAGTCCTGATCCTGGACAACAGAACACAGAAACGTTCAGACACAGCTACACTTTAGAGCTCCACATGGCACATTTTACTCCCCCCCCCCACCCCCACCCCCGACCTTACACTAAACTTTAATCTTTAATTTACATTTTTTTATGTATTCTTAATAGCCGTTATAAAATCTAAATGTGAGTCAATCTTAAATATCACCATCAAAATTGTAATAAATACAAGTGGAACGTTGATGTCCCCCCGTCGCTGAGGGTTTTGAATAGCGTGCGTTTGCAGTTTTAACTGAACAGGGGAAGTAAACCTAAATGGTTTTGGTGAGAGATATTCAAGTGGGTAGAAGTTGCACTGTGGAGAAGAACAGAGGGAGGTTTTTATATTCATCTTAATTTTAATTACAGTGATCAGAGTCTAATCTGTACCTAAACTTTAAAGAACATTTTCAGAATTCATGCAGAGAGCAGTTGATGAAATGTTACCGAACCAAAAACAGCTTGAATAATTTGTACTAAACTGTACAGTAGAGTAATACCTGCCACAGAAGCTATGATCTACGAGTCAGTTCAATAATTAAGAGCTGTTTCATCAGCTGCTACTTTAAACTGTTCCATGATCAGCTTCAGTCCTTGTCAGATCAGGCAGAGGTTCAACTCTGTTCAAGGAGACTCATTGGTGTTTTCACTTTTCTCTTCTGTTGCTACATCTGTAACACACACAGCTTTCTGAATTTTTATATACAGTGAGGAAAATAAGTATTTGAACACCCTGCGACTTTGCAAGTTCTCCCACTTAGAAATCATGGAGTGGTCTGAAATTTTCATCTTAGGTGCATGTCCACTGTGAGAGACATAATCTAAAAGAAAAATTCGGAAATCACAATGTACGATTTTTAAATAATTTATTTGTGTGTTACTGCTGCAAATAAGTATTTGAACACCTGCCAATCAGCAACAGTTCTGGCCCTCAAAGACCTGTTAGTCCTCCTCTATAACGTCCACCTCCACTCCACTGATTATTCTAAATTAGAAGCACCTGTTTGAGGTCGGTAGCTGCATAAAGACACCTGTCCACCCACACAATCAGTAAGACTCCCAACTACTAACATGGCTAAGACCAAAGAGCTGTCCAAAGACACCAGAGACAAAATTGTAGACCTCCACAAGGCTGGAAAGGGCTACGAGGCAATTGCCAAGCAGCTTGGTGAAAAAAGATCAACTGTTGGAGCAATTATTAGAAAATGGAAGAAGCTAAACATGACTGTCAATCTCCCTCGGACTGGGGCTCCATGCAAGATCTCACCTCGGGGCGTATCGATGATCCTAAGAAAGGTGAGGAATCAGCCCAGAACTACACGAGAGGAGCTGGTCAATGACCTGAAGAGAGCTGGCACCACTGTTTCCATGGTTACTGTGGGTAATACACTAAGACGTCATAGTTTAAAATCACGCATGGCATGGAAGGTTCCCCTGGTTAAATCAGCACACGTCCAGGCCAGTCTTAAGTTTGCCCATGACCATTTGGATGATCCAGAGGAGTCATGGGAGAAAGTTCTGTGGTCACATGAGACCAAAATAGAACTTTTTGGTCTTAATTCCACTCACCGTGTTTGGAGGACGAAGAATGATGAATACCATCCCAAATACACCATCCCTACTGTGAAGCATGGGGATGGATGCATCATGCTTTGGGGGTGTTTTTCTGCACATGGAACAGGACGACTGCACTGTATTAAGGAGAGGATGACCGGGGCCATGTACTGCGAGATTTTGGGGAACAACCTCCTTCCCTCAGTTAGAGCATTGAAGATGGGTCGTGGCTGGGTCTTCCAACATGACAATGACCCGAAGCACACAGCCAGGAGAACCAAGGAGTGGCTCCGTAAGAAGCATATCAAGGTTCTGGAGTGGCCTAGCCAGTCTCCAGACCTAAACCCTATAGAAAATCTTTGGAGGGAGCTCAAACTCCGTGTTTCTCAGTGACAGCCCAGAAACCTGGCTGATCTAGAGAAGATGTGTGTGGAGGAATGGACCAAAATCTCTGCTGCAGTGTGTGCACACCTGATGAAAAACTACAGGAAACCTTTGACCTCTGTAACTGCAAACAAAGATACTGTACCAAATATTAACATTGATTTTCACAGGTGTTCAAATACTTATTTGCAGCAGTAACACACAAATAAATTATTAAAAAATCATACATTGTGATTTCTGTTTTTTTTTTTTAGATTGTCTCTCACAGTGGACATGCACCCGAGATGAAAGATTCAGACCCCTCCATGATTTCAAAGTGGGTGAACGTGCAAAGTCGCAGGGTGTTCAAATACTTATTTTCCTCACTGTATTATACTAGGCCTGTCACGATAACAAATTTTGCTGGGCGATTAATTGTCTCAGAAATTATTGCAATACACAATAATGTTGTTTGAAATTTAACAATAATTAATTGTCAAATTTTAGAATAAATGTTGATTTGTTTTGAGTATACTACCTTTTTTCGACCAACAAATAGCAGTATAAGACTGAACTGAAGGATGGATAGTGAGGGAGCGTGTCTCTAAGAAAAATGGGAGGGAGGCCCCTTGACGTGACATGGGCTGTCTCTCCTTTTTTTTTCAGTTCTCAAAATGGCGGACGCTCGGTGTGGTTTGAGCTCTTTAGCATAGCATTTTTTACACAAAGCTTTTAATAAAAAAACTCTGTAAACAAGTTCTCAGCTTCTTTTTAGAGAAAAACAACTTTTTACACGAAGACACGGGTGTCAACCGTGAATTTTGGAGCTTCGACAAGACGGAGGTTTTTTCCCCGAGGTCAGCCTGTTAGCTTAGCTCGTAGCTTAGCTTCTCAGTTTAGCTGCTTTTAACCGTCCAAAAACACGATTTTGGACGGTTAAAATGGATTTTAAAGGGAAAGGGAGGGTTCAGTGAAGAGCACCGGTGGACATGCACCCGAGATGCCTTTTGTCATCCAGTGTCTTTGGTAGAAAGAGACACAAAGAAACGATAAAGCTGAGAAATAAAAATGAGGTCAATAATTTTCATTTATCATGCAATTAATTGATTTATTGTTTATTGCAACAGGTCTATATTATACAACATGTATTTTTTTAATTAGCACGTCTTGCATACTGTTTTGGTAATGGCCACTATTGTTGCAGTGAATCACAAGGTCACATGACCAGTGCGTCCTCTAGTGTTACTTGTAACTCTGGTTTTCCATAATACATCTGCCTTTGATGGGCGTATATAAAAATGTTGCAGTCTACAGATTTTTAGCAGTGTGTGACTTCTGGAGCCCTGGCTGGTCTTTGACAGAAGTTCCTTCAACTCACCTGAACTGAAGAACTGTGCGTGCACAGAGAAGTATTCTGGGACTCTGTTAAGGCTGGAAAGTCAAACTCAATGTCCATGACGTCTCCAAGATCCAGCTCCTCGCTGGAGGAACAAAGATGGCTGTCAGCTCAGCGGACCCCTCTCTAAACACATGCACAAGTCAGATGTTCTTACATGTCATCATTCAGAGACGTTTCCTGAGCTCCTTCCTGGCGGGCCCCAGCTGGAGGGTCCCAGGCGTGCAGTTTGACCTTCCACAGTTTGATCTGCTGGTCCCAGGAGCGCCGGCTGTACTTCCTGAACTTGTTGGGGGTCTTTGGGTGAATGCCTGGCTGACGCATATGTCTGAAAACAGACGGGCTCATGAGCATGCCGAACAAACGAGCACGTCTAAATGTTACGTGGAGCGTGTGAGATCCTGGATCCACCTACTTTGGAACCTCTTTGATGTAGCGATCGTAGGCCAGTGTGTTCTTTCCGTAGTTGATCTGTTTTTGTCTCCGCAGCAGCATGGCCTCATCAGTCTCCATGCCGTCGCTCTCCCTGGAGTCGCAGCTACACACGCACATGCACACGGACACGCACACATTCATTTTTACAGGAAAAAAGCAAACAACACATTTGAAACCCTTTGATTCTAAACTTAGTTTGACTGGATTTTATTTAAATAATTATTGTAAACTGAATGGCAGACACATAGAAATGTGAAAACACAGAACAAGAAAACTGAGAAAAATGTGTCCTAAACAGAAGAAAGATGAACAGTTATTACCAGTAAGCTAAACAAGTTTCTGACCAGGTTGAGTCCGGTCCTCTGGACAGAGTCTTTGTTGAAGAAGAATCTGTCCAGAGGACTTAGCCTGGTCACATGTATCTACCTGCATTACTGAGCAGCAGCCGGACGTTAAACAAGCTTCATTGTGACACTGGGGGGTGTTGCAGGTAGGAGGACACATGCCAGAAGCGGAGCACTACATCAACAGTAGTTTTGTAGATAGCGCATCTGTATTGCGCGCCGCTAGCTTAGCATTATGTCTAGTGATGTCCTGATACCTGATTCTCAGTCATCTGGTCAATTCAAAAAGTTCAAGACAAAAACAGCTGGACTTTATTTGTAACAGAAGACGTTTCGCTTCTCATCCGAGGAGCTTTCTCAGTTCAATGAACAGAGTGTGGGGTTCTTGTTATGAAGCTTTCTCAGTTCTCTGCTTCATAACAAGAACCCCACACTCTGCTTTTTGAAATGAGAAAGTTTCTTGGATGAGAAGCAAAACGTCTTCTGTTACAAATAAAGTCCAGCTGTTTTTGTCTTGAACTTTTTTGAATTTCCCGGTACTCGTACTCATTAAAAATGCCCTGATACCTGGGACCGATACCGCCACTGGGTGGAGCCATTTCTACTTCCGTTGCACAAGTAACCGAAGGTTAAAACATGTTTGTAGTTCAGAGTTCAGACCTCAAACATCCAACCCGACCATTTAACTGGAATTACAGGCCTGAACAAGAAGAGAAAAAAAAAAACAAACAAAAAAAAAATATATTAATCTTTTAACCCTTTTGTAAGGGGCAGCACGGTGGCACAACTGGCATAGCTGCTGCCTCTCAGCAAGCAGGTCTCTGGTTCAAACCCCGGTCCAGGAACCCCTCCAGGTGGAATTTGCATGCTCTCTCCGGGCATGCGTGGGTTTATTCCAGGTACTCTGGTTTCCTTCCACAGACCAAAAACATGCATGTTAGGATGAATGATAACTCTAAATTGTCTCTAGGTGTGAGTGAGAGAGTGAATGGTTTTTTGTCTCATTTGTCTCTATGTGGCCCTGTGATGGACTGTAGACCTGTCCAGGGTGTCCCCCGCCCCTCACACAGCGACAGCTGGACATGGGCACCGGCGACCCCTGTGACGCAAAATGGAAGAAGCGGGTAAAAGGTAATGGATGGATGGATGCTTTTGTAAGCAAATCAGTTTAACATATTTTAAAAACGTATTTCAAAGAAAGGAAGATAGAAGATTTCTTGTTTCACCAAATGGATATTAACATACAAAACAAATAACCTAAAAAAAATCAACTGTAAAGATGGGTTATACAGATGAACAAAAATATTTTTAGAGCAAAATTATTTGAACAAATATAGAACAAGATTATTTTAATTGAACGTGCTACTCGCTCCAACTTTTGTCGTTCAGATGCTGCAACTTTCTTCACCACAGATGACAGCAGGTGGAGCGGGATGCACACGGCCAATGATCCGGTTGTCCATCTAAAGCTTAACACAACTTTTTTTTTTTTTTACCTCTACCAACCGGCTGGTCGTACCTGAGCGTGCACCTGACACACATCAGCAGGTTTTACTGTGCTGGCTTTGTAGAGTGAGTTCTCCTGTTCTTGATTTAGTTTAATACTTTCCAGATCCATTATGTCGCTTGTTGTGGGTCAATTGCAAATCCTCAGATGTGTGATAAGAACAAAGGGCAGGGCCACATGCACAATTAAAACTGCATTAAAAGCTCAAGCCCGACCTGGCCCGCCCATCAAGCACATAATTTTGGCCTGACGGGGCCAGAATTTCGGGTCGGGTTGGGGGCTCGGGCCAAAAATCACAACTCTTCTGTAGTTTGGAGATATTTTAAGTTAAACATCTTAGCTTAGCCTGGAAGATGTTCAGCTGCAGCTCAACCAGCCCACAAGAAGACTCCAGCAGGACCAGCAGCTGTTACATGCCCCAGTCTCTGCCTGAACAGAAGCAGCTCTGGGAATATTTGGGTCTGTACATGAACTTCCACTCACCAGTGGGTTCTGGTGGAAAAGATTCTAGGCGAATATCAGGAATTAAATTTTTATAGTTATGCAGGTATAAAACATTTAGACTTTTTTTATATTACTTAGCACTTTATTTAAATGTTAATAAATGAAGCACTTTATAATTTTGCTACTGTTGAATTACTTTGTGGTGCTAAACACCACTGAATGTTAGTTTAAATTTCAAGTAAAAGGTCGGTTAGGTCCATGTTTAAGAAATATACAAATTGAAAGAAAATTATTGTTGTTATCCATCCATTATCTTAACCCGCTTCTTCCTTTTCCTTTTTATTTATTTTAAAATTTTGCAACAGTAAATATCATGCTGTATGATCTGATCAATCAAAGGGACTGTAGGCCTCCAAGTAAGGAGAGCCACCTTGTTCTAAAATAAATGTTTTAAGTCATTGTGTAATGTTGATGCTCTAACTCAGTAAGTACTCGGTATCGGCGAGTACACAAACAAATACTCACATTTGCTTTGATACAAATTGGTATCGGGCCACCCCTAGTTATATCAGTGCCAGCAGTTGTTGTTGTGCGTGAAGAACAGTTTGGTAGGTGGGGCGCTTGGTTCCGTTGTCAGGGCGGGGCGCCCTCCTTGTATATCAGGAGGGGAAACACTGCATCTGATGAGCTAACAAACTGAAATACGCGTACTTGCTTGAGTCTGAACTCAAGACAATGCTAAGTGCAAATAATGTTTCGTTTTACACATAATGGCAGCCATCTTGGATTTTGACGTAGCAATCTAATTTCTGATACTGACTTAGATGCAGCCACACACCAAAATGGAAGTCAGCACCTCACTTATTTTTCCAAGTTATCATGCTCACAACATGCACGGACAGATGGGCGGCTGTGGCTGAGTGGTTAGAGCAGTCGTCCTCCAATGCGAGAGTTGGGGGTTCGAATCCACCAGCAGTCACATGTCGAAGTGTCCCTGGGCAAGACACTGAACCTCTCACTGCCTCGGATGTGTGTCCCATCGGTGTATGAATGTGATAAAGCTCTGATTAGTCTCATTAGAATGATTTGTTCAATTAACTTTGTAGAGATCTTGTAGAGTGCTGTATGAATGGGTAAATGAGGACACAGATTGTAGTGTAAAGCGCTTTGAGTATCTTGAAATAAAATAGAAATGCGCTATATAAGTACAGTCCATTTACCATTTACAGACGGTACTTCCAACTTTCGCTCCACTCCACAACAAAGGACAAAAACAAAAAAGGTGTATCTGTGACACGCCGAGACAGCCATATTTGAGGCTGCGCCTGTCTGATGATGCAATAAAGAAATGCTGATTACCTCCCTGAGGAGCCAGACGAGGTCTTCCTCTCCCTCTGGGCACCGTCTGCAGCCAGTATCCTCCTCCTGTACCTGGACAAAGAGAAGAATGAGCCCCGATCACAAAAAAATCAAACAGCTGACGGCTGGCCTGAAACAGGAAGTTGTTCTTACCGCTGCATGTCTCTATGGACATCCCGCCTCATCTCCTCGTCCTCCACCTGGCTGCCCCAGTCAGACCGCCGAGCACAGCGAGACACTGGCCCTGTGCTCTCTGGAGTGGTGAAACTACAACAACACACAGAAAGCTCTTCTTTAGCTTGTTCTGTTTGGTTTAGAGCTGGTTGACCCTCTGTGGCCACCGTACATTTAATGTGCCCTCAGTTTGAGGCATTACAGGACATGACGAATAATCTGAGGAGTCCCCTTTACGTTTTGACCATTAATGTTCCTCAGGGGAAACACAACCTCATTTAACTGCTTAAAATACAAAATTTAAACACATTTTCTGCAAAAAAAAAAATAAATAAATAAACTAGATCATTTTTTCAATCACATTTTAATTTCATTTTATCTCAACACAAGTTACTTTTTTAGATTTTTTTTTTTTTTTTTGCACATTTCCATCTTTTTTAAATCAACAATATATTAATTTTATAGCCAGTCCTTTAGGTCAGAATGGACCAACACAGAAGAGCAACATCATCAGACCAGGACTCTGCAGTCTACACTCATCTGCAGGTCAGAGGTCACTCATTCAGGGATGAAGATGTTCACATCCTTGATAGAGAGGAACAATGGTTTGAGAGAAGAGTAAAGGAGGCCATCTTTGTGAAGAGAACCTGTCCATCATTAAACAGGGGCGGAGCCTCTGTGTTCAACTGTCCCCCTCTTACAATGCTGTTATTGCTAGTATCACTCAGTCCTCTGTGAATAGCAAGCAGTCATTGAAGCACAGATTGGTTGTTAGGCTGACGGTCCTCTTTGATCAAGTGAACAGCTCGTTCTGGCTGTCAGCAACAAACTGGTTGATCCACTATGAGAAGATGCTATTTATAAGACTGAGTTTGTTGCAGCTCCTCAGACTGAATAAGTCTTCTGGATTAAAGATGAAACGTTTCAAAAAGAAGAATCCATTCAGAGGACCTGACTTAACTTTGTTAGATATTTCTACCTAAATCATTGAGCATCAGGACATTTATTATTGTGTTATACTCAACAAGTAAAGTGTACTTTAAATATTTCTAACATTTTATCTGCTATAGATGATTTAGTTTATAAAATGGATTACTCAGGTTTATGAAGGCAGCGTTTTTCAGGACAGTCTGTTTTGTTTCTACATACAGTTATACTGTAGTTGGGGAGTGGTGGCGCAGAGGTTAGAGAGGTGGGCTTGTGATCCGAAGATCGCCGGTTCACGCCCCGGCCCCGACAACATCAAAAATTGTGGGTGGGGTAGGTGAAACACCCACACTTGCCCCCACCCTCATTCGCCCCACTCTGGGCCCATGAGCAAGGCCCTTAACCCCACCATGTGCTCCCTAAACAGGTCTCTCTTGAAAATGAGTTCTCGTGGCTCAATGAGACTAACCTGGATAAATAAAGGCTAAATGAAAAAAAAATAAATAAATACGGTGCAGTGGGTATTTAAAGATAGAAGTACAGAGTGATGCAGTCAAGATTAAATCGTGGAGCACAGAGTATAAAGAAATGAAGAAAAGAACAAAAAAGGTTAAATCATGTCATCTGAACCGGTTTCTTTAAGTGAAAAACATTTTGTCCCCCATCCAGAGGACTTCCTCAGTCTACAGCCTGCCAACCAGATCTGTCTCATAGGTAGTCTTCACTGCTGTGTTTCAAGCCAACCTCCTGTTGGAATCTCAGAAGTAGACTTTTAACACACCATCCAAAACAATCAATCATCATGTACAACAATCAAATGTTTTAGGCCAGATGGCCAACTTGCTACTCACAGAAACAGCCTGACGACTACCAAGGCCATAGTGGTTCAGACAAATGAAGAGAATGCAGTTCTATTTCGTATAGGCTTCGCCCTTTAAGGCTGTCGCTTAGTGGGTTTATCCCGATATGCAAAGTATCGCACTGAAAAATTTAGTCCACGCCCACCTGCTGTGTGGGCCCCACCCGGTCCGCTATAAATTACGTTAAGAGCGGGAAATGGGCTCCCATTTTTTCTTCAGCAAGCTAATAGCACTGTCAGAAGAACGAAGAAGGAAAGTTGTGTAGATGACCAACCTTTGTTAAGAATGCTTTCTTGCAGTCGACCTCCGGTCGTCCGGTGAGTTCTCCTCCCTGAGGAGAAGCTGATGAGCAGTCTTGTTTCAAGGTAAGCGCCGAGGAATATTTCTCAGTGACAGGTCACTACACGCTGGACAACGCCATCTTGTAATTTTCCTCTTATCGCAGACCCTCGGAGCGAATCGGATGGTTCCTCCAGGACAGGCGGCGCTCAGCTGCAGCCCCCCGCTGCTCATTCCCTCCTGGAGAGCGTCGTGTCGGTGGAGGGGGGTTGAGTGAATGCTCACCCCATCCCACCTCGTTTCGCATCGGCGATCACACCGCTCACGGCCGACGGCGCCCTCAGGGGTTGCCCGGCATAACCCAGGAGGCGGCTGACATGAAGGGACCTTTTTTACGTCCCACGCCTTTCCCGCCAGTTCGGATGATCCGGCGGGAAGGTTGTTTCTACTAGGTTCCATTCCGGCTCACAGTCTTGATCCATCTGGCCTCGTTTTCCCAACAGGATGTCATACGGGCGAGGCCACAGACGTTTTTTTCCTGGTAGATTGGGGGGGGGGGGGGGTCTCCACAGTCCGCACCCATCTCCAGAGCAGGGGTTCACCGAGCGGAAAGTCCCTCAGTGACCCCTGGAGCCAAGCCTGACGGAGGCTTCAATGGAGCAAGATGTCGAGGTGGACCAGCATCCCGTGCCTCCGGTTAGCGTAACCGAGACGGTGACACCGCTCTCCAACTGAGCTCACCAGCATGTGTTCCACACGGCCGCAGCGAACAACACGTTACACTGTTGGTGTACACGTTCAGAGGCGGGAAGAGACGGTGGGCCCCTCTGACGTTCGGCTCGCTCCACTCTCATAGTGGCTGCTTGCTAACGACGCTGCCGGCCCCTGCAGTACGCTCCGTCTACAGGGCAGCTGACGTCATCCCCAACCGGTGCGCCTCTTTTGCCGTCTGCCGCCCCGCATCGCAGCTGGAGAACGAGGTCCCAGAGGCTCTCCTGGCTCGTCACTCCACCTTCCTCTCAGGAGAGCTGCAAGAGCTTGTTGGAGGTCCTCTTTTCATCAGCGAGAGATCATTTCAAGATGCTCCACGGCTGCACAATGCCTCCCCAGCTCTGCTACGCCAGCCCCTCCCGTCAGACGTCCCCGGCATCCGAAGTTCATTTTTTTCCAGGACTTCGCCAACAGGGGGCCGTCCAGGACAACAAACAGAGCTCAAGGGAGGATAACCAGGTGTCGGTTTGCTGGAGGTGTGTTGATGACACGATGTGAAATAAACATCATTTTATGATGAAGTGTCTTTTAGCCAGGCTGTCAGCATGGATTATCTGACAAGCGGCCCCATCACACACACTCATCACGAATGAGCCTTTTTAAGGTTGTTTTCATTCACTGTCAGCGGTGCCAATACGCGCTCCCGCGTCATGAAAGCGCGCACGCAGCTCTCGGCGCCCGCCGTTCACGTCAACGTTAACGTGAGACCGCGGTACGAGCCCAGTAACGTATCTCGCTCTCGGCAGGAGCGACATGCGTTTTTCATCGCAGTGGTGTCAAACGCGCGCTCCCGCGGCGTCAGCAGTTTCACAAGTCTCACAGCAGCTCTGCTCCTTCATCCTCGAAGAAGGTTTTTCTGAATTAATACTGCAGCTCGTGGAATCACTCAAAAGTTCACGTGATTCGCAGACAAGAATGAACGTGTTTTGGCAGACCGAGCCCAGTGGTAACCTCGCCCCACCGATGCCGCGCGCTGCTTCCTGACCGCACCAGTGTCAACGCGCGCTCCCGCGGCAATCCTGGCTTAAGGCGTTGCATGAATGAGGGCGCGCGCACACGACTCTTCAGGGCATGTCGGCTCATACGTGCACCCGCTCCCCAAACGTTTACACGGATCAGCTGCACACAACGTGAGCACAACACGAGCTGCGTCCCGCAGCATCAGCAAACACACAACGTTTTGCATGCTCGGGGGCGCGCGTGTTTTCTTTCTCACTCAACGCGCACCAGCTCACATCAGCATGCATGTGAGTTTCACAGCATAAATGCGTGCCCGCTTTATAACTTATAAACGAGTGGCAATGAGCGCGCACTCCAGACGTATGGGCGAACCGTTTTCATCCGGGGATTCACGCTGCAGTACAGCTCAAACCCCGGTGTGGAGGAACTCTGTGACGTTTTCTGTCATTTCTGAACAGATCTCGTCCCCTCTCGCAGAAGTTCAGGAAATTCTGTTTTAAATGTAATTTCTAGAGTCTCAGAAGGAGAGGAAAACACAAGGTCCCTCTCTCATCACTTCCTGGTCCCAACGAACTGGAAAGATGAGATTTATTCTAGATTTGTCAATTTTTTGAACTGTGAGAAACAACACTCCATTATACGCCCGAGCCGCTCTAATTCTGCTTTATCTGGACACCTGCTGCTGCTGAGCAGTTTGTACAGACAGGTGGCAGCAGTGCAACTCACGTGAACCGGTTGAGTGATATCAGCTGTTTTCTGTCAGCAGACCTACGTCACACATGTCACTTTTCACAGAGGCACACACATTTAACAAGCTGTGGGGGCGCTGTGGTTCTCCAAACAGCAGCTCATTTAAATGTTTTTGGAGTGTCGCACGAGTTCTTTGAATGTGACTCAACACTGACCTTGAACTGCAGAATCATCAGGGTTTTTGATTCACAGACAGCAGTGACTGTTGCATACATACTGGCAAGAGATGTATGCGCTTAACCCATGTGCCACATTGTGAGACAGATGCTGTGTGGGGCACACCCAATCTGCTCTCCATTGGAGTAGGCTACATCTAATGTATTCTGAACAAGGGGCGGATGTGATGTCCAAAGACAGTCCTTTGCGGCACGGGGACCTGGGACCTTCCACCCAGAGCTATGGCTCAGACACGGCAGAAATCCTGCAAGCGCCTGTGGACGTGTAGCAACACGAGAGAACGCTCAATGTCAACTATAATTATGGTGGAGCTACGGGACGATCCAATGCTGGGGTGGACGTGCCTGCTCACAGCCTGTGGTCATAATG